GAGGCCGCGCTGCGACCTGCACTGCCGCCGCACGGCCGAGGGGAAGGGGCCGCCGACCCCCATGTGCCTGAAAAACCCGCCGGCCGGCTTCTTCTTTCTTTCTTTCTTTCTTTCTTTCTCTCCTCCTTTCTCTTTCAGGCCCCTAGGGAGCTGCGAGGGGCCTTTGGGCCCCCGAGTCTGCAGCATGAAATGCATTCCCGTGAGAGAGAGGTGCAGAGAAGACGCGCTCCCTCCCTCTCGCTAGTCCTTGCATATTCGCAGAAGAGCCAGCGAGAGGATGCGCCCGTCTCACGCTGTCGGAGTACCGGGGTGGAAGGGAAACGCGTATGAGAAGTGACAGGCATCGGCTAAACACGGGTCAGCACAGTCCCGGCACGCTCTGGCTGAGCACAACATCTCCCAGAGGGGTTTTAAGAGCGCGATTAAAGCAGGCAGTCGTCTCTGCCTTTCTAAGCTTGCTTAAAATAATAACAATAATAAAAATAGCAAAAATAATAAAAATATAATAAAACTCTTGCCTAATTCTCTTTCTGGGCAAGATAAATTAACTCCGATTATTGGAGAAAAAAGTCGCTCGTCTGACTCCCCCAGTGTGATCACCTGCAGGCACAGAAGAGCTCCCATCCAACCTGCCAGAGCAGTGTCGGGACAGCTCGCATAGGCAGGGAGAAACTGGGAAGCTGCAGCAGTCGAGTTACTTGCACAGAGTACCGATGCTAGGGAGGTCTGGAATTTAGGACATGCTCAGGAACGCTGGTGAAAGACAAGCCGACCACAGAGAAATAACAGACCACGCATGGAGATCAAAGCTCTCTGCTTCCCCGACTTCCTGCTCCGAGGGTATAGGTAGCCACTGCTCGCTAAGGGGGTGGGAGAAGGCGGAGTGCGTTTCAAAATATCTTCCCTAAAACCACGGGTCACTGCCTTTCCGCAGCAATTTTTGTAGTCTGCTTTCAGCCCATTAAAACTCCCCGATCCCCTCCGTTTCCTGCTTTCTTCTATGAGAGCTTATCATCATGAGATACTGAACAATCAAAAGCAAGAAGCTATAAATATGCTGCAAGGGCAGATTTTAACCATTCTTGCGCTGGCTCTATTTCTATTTATTTTATGCAGCTGAGAATTTCCAGGCCAGTGAAAACGCATTTCAATTATACAAACTATCATCGCCTCTAAAAATAGGAGAAAACCGGGAGCACAGCCAGAAATGATTCATTAAATAAAAATTCGATACATCTTTCCATACCCTCAACTCAGCAAAACCTCCAAGTGAGGTTCCTATCCTATTGGCACTAGAGCAAGTCTTGGTCTGCCTCAGCACTCGTATCTGTGATCATTAAGATTCTCAATTGTCCTGGCAGTGTCTGAATATTGCATTTTCCATTTATTGCATTGATGCTACAGGACCTGTAAGAGCGGCGGGGGTGGTTTGGATTTATTTTAACTCATAGACCTTGTAAATTTGGCCAACGGGCCATGGTATACAGCATATAACATCAATATAATATTTACAGCATGCTATGTACCCGATCCCTCCCCATTAACTGTGGAAATCCTTAATTCCCACTTAGTCACCATAAAATTACTATCTAGCCCCCACCCCAAATTCCACTAGGCTTCCCATCTACTACAGTGTGATGTCCTCTATAATATGGAAAAATACACTTTTCTTCCTGCTCTATAATAATGTGCAGTTACTATAAACACCCTGGACCAATGTAATACCATCTACTGAAGTCAAAGAAAAGACACCAGAAGTTTTTCCTTAGCCTTGACCAATGGTAAAAATAAATATATCGTTCTGGGAAAGCTGGAGCAATTTTGTTATACCCAGATGCATATACGGCTACAACACACGGGCTCTACTCACCCAGGAATCTTGGACCCAAGTTCCTCCCGTTGAACAGACAGACCCACTTCAAAGGTAGATTTTTTTTAGTCCTAATATTTGAATTAAAAAGTTGTGGTTATGCACACTGGTGCCTGAAACACTGGCAGTGCTGGAAGAAACTGATTAGTGAACAATGGCCACGGTTAAAGTGACTGTACATTTGCAAGATTTACTGCTCTTTAGAAGTATCCGGCAACCTTCACCGATAAATTATTTCCTAATTCGCTCATTTGCTACTCATTTACCATTTGAGATCATTTCTTCAGCTTTCTGCTACATCTCTTCCTTTGTTCTGTAGCGTTGCCTAACGCTTGTCTATAAGGCTCTAAGGGGTCCTGCCTACAATTCTCTTTTTCATAATCATACAGCCCTGCTTTAATGTTTTGGCATCTCTTGCCCTGCTGACTCCTTCCACCCTCTGCTGTGGAAAGAGACGTCCCTGGAAGTCATGCAGTATTGATCACCGGAACATAAGTATTGTCGGCAATGTATTAATATCCAGCCACTCCTCTCATTCCTGTCACACTTCCTTTCCGGTCCAGACCAAACGAGTGTCTGACACGGGTTGATTGCACGATTAATGCACTGCTCGGGTGAAAAGCTCTGGGTCATAGCCAAAAATAAAACGCTTAGCAATATTAATATCCATGGTCAATTACGACGTAGCTGCTCCGGCCATGCAGAGTAACATAGCTATGCCATGGAGGCAGACGAGCGGAGACCTCAGCCTTGCCCAGTGCGTGAAGTGAGTGTTCTCCTCGAGAGACTTCCAGGCCTGTTCGTGCACCACAGAGCAACCACCGCTAAACATACGCACAGGCACACACACACACACACACACAAATTTTGCACTCAGCCTCCCGCATCCAGCTGCCTGGTGTCTTCGCTTCTCGCTCCCAGATGCCCAATGTCTCAAAGATGTCATAAAATTTAGCCTCTCGACTCTCACTGTTGTTCAGCCATTCGCAAGTGTCACCACTTATCATTTCAGGATCTGTAACCTTAAGGGTCTCACCACCTCCACTCCCTTTCCCTAATTATGTTATTTGCACGAAACAATTTGCCGTCTCTGAAGCGTTTCCTACTCCCTTCCCTCCAGTTTATCCACCCACCAAGCTATTTTGGCCCGAATCGCCAAGGAATCAAACTTTTTGTGACCTTGAGGACACGTCCCGGGACCTCCGCGGTCTCGCCCACCACTATGCAAGCCCTTCATCATCTTCCCCTCCCCGACGTGCTCACAGAGCGCTTCTTCCATGCCCTCTCGCCCAACAGGCTGTTGCATTGGTGCATTTACACCGCCTCAGAACCCTGAGCATCGCTTATGGCCTCTTTCTCCCGCCCTGTTTCATATTCTCAGCCAATCATCTCTGTTTTCAGTAGTAAGACGTCATTCCTCCAGCCGTGCATACTGTGCTTGAAACAATGGTAGCGGCCAGAAGAAGCTGGTAAGCGATCAAAAGCAAAAAAACAAAGAAGAATAGTAAAATCGGACTGTCTTGGGGTTCTTCGGGAGCAAATGGCTGCACCACAACAAACGCCACGCGTGTCTGAACACCATCCTTTACGTCGGCGATTATTTTAACGCCCCATTATCCTCAGACACTGCATCAAATGCCGTGGAGACGCGGACCGGCATCTCTGGAAGTCTGCAGATCACAGACACCTCTAGATTGCTACTGAGGTTAGGGAAAATGCGAAGAGCAGAACTTGCCCCGTATCTCCGAGGGCTCCCCACCAGAACCGAGGACTCCCGCTGATGCTGGACCAGAATACGGTGCTTCCGCGGCAGCGGAGTCTCTGCCGGGAGAAATGAAACCTCAGAAGGGGCAGAATCCGTCCGGGAGAGCAGATGGAGCGACAGCCCTCCAATTTCTCCTCCGAGGTGAACGGATAAGCACTCCGTGGCGGCATGGGCAGCTGTCCCCGGGCAGGCAGGCAGCCCCAGGGTTGATCTCCATCCGGAAAGGTTCATGAAAAAAGTTCGGACCGGATCTGCCTCCGGTCTGAAGAAGACCGGAGCCAGTGCAGGGGCTCCTCCTGGGACCGAAACCGAAATGCCGGCGCGGAGCTGGGATGTCGACGGAGGTACAAGGACCCCGCTATCGCCTTCCCCTTGTGGGTTCCCCCGGGCAGAGATGAACGCAAAGAAGGTGACAGCCCGAGCGCCCCGGACCGCCGGGTTCCTTCGCTCGGGACTCGGCGTGGCCATAGCACCCGCCGCTGTCCCCGGGACTGCGTCTACGCTCCCCCATGTAATGCCCAGCCTTGCCGCCCCCCGCTCACCCCGGTGTTGGCTGCAGGGTCGGGGCTTATCCGCTGCTGTTATCGCAGCTCCGCGCCCGCCTTCCCAGCTCCGAGCCCGCCTTCCCCTTCCGCGGCGGCAGGCTGTGGCTGCTGGAGGAGTGCATATCGGTATCAGGATGCCCTTCAGCAAATCACGGGAGCTCGCAGCTGCGACGTGGGGACAGGGAGAACTGAGATTACTAAAAGGAGTCCAGGAGAATAAGTATCGTATGCAGAGGATTTCTAGATTTCAGCGACCCCCCACTAAAACCCTCATGACCCACATCAAGCAATAGAAACATCCGTACTGTGCCATTCGCTACACCGCAGGCAAAAACAGGCGTCTATTCTATCCAAGGTCTGCGACTAGTCTGTTTACCCCTGTCAGAGACCACTGAGCTTTGCGGGAGACGCCGGGGGACACCGGCGACAGCGGGTACCAGTGACAGCTACCGCGTGCGCCAAACCGCGGCTCCGGCACTCAGCATTCCTCTGCAATACTCCCTGTCCTGAGGCTGCGAAACAGCCTCCCGCCCGCAAGTCAGTGCGGAGCGCTGCAGCCGCCGCTCTGCCGCTCGCTGCCGCCCCTTCCGCTCCCACCTTCCAGCTCGCGGAGCCGCCTACTGATGAACGGCTACAGCACGAACAGCTCCACCCGCAGCTCTAGCTCTAAGCCTCTACATTAGCTACCCCTGTCATACACGCTCCCAACCACTGTGATTGCACCGTGCCTCGTAACACCGTCATTAGTGAGAAATTATTTTCCAAAACCACACGCGGCGACGGTCGTAGCCTTTGAGATGAAGAAAGCCTGGTCTGGCCGAGACTGACAACCTTGTGCCAATCTCTATCTATTATCCAAGACACTGACTGTATCTTCCGGTACCTCCTATAAACGACCTCTTCCCAGAGTATGCTACGAAGTAAAAGTATTCTCGAGATTTCTTTCTGAAGTTAATGCTTCAGTATTTCTTCTAGAACCATGTATTTCCTATCACTGTAGGGCTATTGTAAATTCCTTCAGATCCTCAATTCATGAGAGCAGTCAGAGTGAAACTAAGGAAATATCTGGAATTACGGAGTCTTCCGACAACACAAATCCTCTCTTACTCCCAGATGATCAGCATTAAGAGACTCCATATCATCACTTTTAGTCTTAGCCTAGGGAAACAAGCCGATTTCCCACCACCTCCGTGGTGGCGAATTGCTTTATCTTCACTTCCGCACTCGCTAGGAGGATCTCTCGGACTGGAGAGACATGTTGGTTTTGCATCCTTTTCGAGATCGCCTTTTCCAGATTAGTTAAACCTTATAAACTTAAATCAGGGAGGGAAAAAAAAACTCTACTAAATTTTCCTTCAGGAAATCTCAATTTGTTTTTCCTGTCTTCTGTCAGATCCTTGTGAATTAAGGAAAACCAACTTAACACTTCTACAGCACTGTGATAACCTTTGCTGCTCACAGACAAATGAAGGCAATTCACACCTACTCAAGAAATGATCATCCTCTCTCCACATACGCTCCATAGCTACCTTTCCTGGTCAGATGTGGTCAACAAATATACAAAGAACTCGAACTTGAAGTCTTTTCTAAGTGATGGAAAAGAAATGCAGGAAGGAAAAATAAATTCATGGGGCGCGCTCACATTTCCTATGGATCCGAGGGAGAGGTCGGTCCCCCAAGAATTTATGCAAAACAGACATGAACATATCCACTTTTTTTTACCCGGATTTTGGTTTACCCAAAAGCAACATTCCTGTCAACTTGGAAGAATCGATCTGTAATTTCGATTTTTAAGCTATGTTCTTTGCTTAAATTAGGTGTATTGTTGTAAGAACCAACAAAACAAATGTTCTGAAGAGAAAAATACTATGTTGACAGGACTATGTTGACTATGTTGACCTTTCCGGAAAACTATGGTAGTTATCCAAACGCATGTCTTTTGCGACTTGAACGCGTGACTCGCAAATTGGTCGTATAAAAATACTGACTGTTCTAACTTTCCCGGTAGCCATACGAACCGCGTTTTTAATGGTGCAACGAGAATTACATCAGCTATACAAGATTTTTCCAGGGGCATTCCACCATTAACGACCTCCACCAACACTTCTTCCCCTCATTCCAACCCAAGATAGTTTTTTAATGTATTCGAGCTTCATGGGATTAGAGAGGCAAAGCACCCAGTGAGTTCTTGAACGAGTAAGACAAGAGTAAACAACGACGCATATGGACACTTTCTTCATTAAAAGCATCACAATAGCAGTTGGATTCGAAGATAATAAATACCTTATCTGCAATCAGTCTCAGAAGGTAACGAGCTTGCGAGCACCGCCCAACCAAGTACATTTGAAAAGACGCTAACACAGCAAAATAAAAAACTGGCTAACCTCACACGATCGGCACTCAATACCATGTCCTCGATAAAAACCTTACAACGCTAAATATACATTTCATCAAATACACGATCGCAAACAAGACCTAGAAACAGAGATGCTTCCCGAAACGCATTGCACAAAAAGATCATATTTTGTGAATGATTCAATAATAAGGTAAAAATGTTACAACACGAGAAACTGGCAAATATGGACAATTCAAAGACCAAACACAGACGTCGAACTTCGGACTACTCCGGCTAAAAGCAAAAGGAAAATCAGGGTCTGACTCTCTTTTTACAAATATTACCTTATATAAAAGGTATCTATCCAACCATCAAGCAAAAATGAAAACTGGCAGGAAATAAATTACCCAAATCAGAAAAAGATCCCAAAGAACACACTTACCACGGCAGAAGAACACGGGGCAGCGTCTACTCCTACCCAGAAAACCCATTCTCTGCCGCAGGCGGGAAGTTGGGGCTGAAAACCATGAGGTTTTAGAACGATGTAGATCGTTCCTTCTAGAAGGGCCTCCAAGGGAAGTCGCCAGTGAGCAACGCGAAGGATTCCTACCCAGAAAACCCATTCTCTGCCGCAGGCGGGAAGTTGGGGCTGAAAACCATGAGGTTTTAGAACGATGTAGATCGTTCCTTCTAGAAGGGCCTCCAAGGGAAGTCGCCAGTGAGCAACGCGAAGGATTCCCATGGAAGAGGGGTTTGAAACAGCTACGCAAGCCTTGTCAGACCTCTGAAATCGCTCCATTCCTGACAGTGCTCCTACAGGCGCTGCTGTGAAACGGGAAGCAGAAGGGCAAGCTGAAAGCTGATGACATTCTCCCAACGTCCAATGCCCCTCAGCACAGCAGGAAACAACTGCCCACACTCATGGCAAGCGGCCCCAGCTCGGGAAACCTCTCACACAGCAAACTCCACCTTGCCCTCGATTCCTGACGTGTCTCCTGAGTCAGGCTGGCGACAGGGAGACAGGCTGCTGTTGCTGGTGGCGCAGAATGGTGCCCCGGCTCGTACCCACATGCTCACCATCACGCCCCACGACATTACCACAACACGTTTATCCGCACTCGCAGAAAACAAGCAAGGCCTACCACCGCGGGACACGTGCAAGGGGCACAGTCAGGAACCGTGAGTGACGAGCTTCCACCACCGTTCCCGGGGCCTGAGTGCATCTCCTCCACCAGCACACCCTGGCTAAGGCAGCGACATGCTTCCCCGTGTCTTACAGCGACCGCGCGATTTCCTCTTCTGCCTGTGCCCTTTAAGCTGCTGAGAATGCTAACAACGTACGTGGATCGAGGCTTTCCTCACGACAAGCTTCACCTCCCAAGACGCAGGTCACGCTCTCGCTCCTTCCGTAGGCCCAGGAGTGGCTTCTCGCGCCCGCACAGTCGAAGTAAGGCAGCATGTAGCAGCACGAAACTGCTTTTTCTCTGCCTTGTGCCCAGACAGAGCCATTGAAAAACAGCACACGCCGACACACTGTGCAAGCCTCCTGCAACACTGAACCACAGCTGAATACGACCGCCACCTCCAGGAGACCTACACTTCCGAACGCAGCTCAGCACCAGTATTGTTACACAGCAACACGGAACCGCCGAGGGCGAAACGGACACTTGTTTTGTGCAGTCGCACAAACGGCGCGCAGGGAAACGCACGCAAGGACTCAGATCTTCCGGAGAGCAACCAAGGATGCAGAGTGAACGGCAACGATGTCTGGTGGACAAAGAGACTACGCAGGCAACGACGGAGCTCCTCTCCGCTTCTCGCGGGCGCGGACGAGGAAGTGGGGAACACAAATGCAGAAGCAATAGCGAGCAAAGGCAAAGAGGAAAGCAAACCCGGGCGAGAGCAGTCGCCCGCCTCCTTCCCTCTGCCGGGAACTCTCGGATCGGCCGCTGCGACCATCAAAGGCGGAGCCATCAGCGCTAATGACAGGGCACCCGCTCCCTGCCATTGTCCATTCACACCTCATGAAGGGTAAGCTCCTTAGGCACTAACTGCATTCAGCGTATAGAGGTGATGTCGGTTAATGAGGGCAATTTCTTTCTTTTCTTTTCCACCGTGCCTTGCCTTGCCTTGCTCTGCGTTCCCTCCCCTCCCCCCCCCCCCCCTCCTCCACCCCCTCCTCGGTACCGTCAAGGGAGTCGTCATGGGCCCCCAGCATGGCCTGCTGCATGGCCATGGTGGCTGTGGCTGAGGAGAGAGGCTGCAGGCTACCAGTCCTCTTCTCTTTTCCTCCTCTTTTGTTCCCTCCTTTTCCAAAGTGCTTTCCACATGTCCACTCCACTCTCGCAGGACCTACGGGCAGCACTTTAGGCAAGAGCTCTCACGCCTCTTCCTCCTCGAGTGCCATCGAGCCTTAGGAAAGACCGAGGCTTCCACTACCCATAGGTCGGCATGGGAAGCTCATGCTTCACCGACAGCAACAGGCGCAGACTGTTCCCTTTTGCAGCGCTCCGTTACGCACGCTGATGTAGCTCAGCGGTTTCAGGCACTCTCCCTGGCTACCAGAGAACGTATGATAGAGCAAGGAAACCGTATTACAAACAACACCTCGGCTACGCCATAACACAGTCGAAGCCTGCCGATGTACAAGACCAGCCTAAGTATGCCGTCAGTGTGGACAGACTCCCAAGAGACCGGACAACTCCAGGGACTCTCTGTTTTGGAAGCCCCACTCAACGTAGCCCAGCAAGCGAATGCTCAGAGAAGGGTCAACCACAAGCGCCGCTCACCACCCGCGCCGCTCTTTTTCAGTCCGTGAGACGACAGCCCGACTCGGGAAGAGCAAACCACAGCTCCCAGGCAGCACGTTTGGCCTGGTGCTTAGGCGCACCCTCCTCCTCAGGGCTCTCTGGAAATCATGTCTGAGAAGGGTAAGGCTCCAGCAGCACAACCCCAACAGCTGCAGAACCGCCTGCAAGCTCCCACTGCCACACGTGACGAGAAGACCCTCCCGCAACTCCGCTCCCAGAAACGGAAGGCGACACGCTCCCGAGAAAGCGTTCCGGGGAGATCGCTAGGGAAGACCTTCACACAAGGGATCCTGCCCAACCCCCAGGCTCCAGAAGTCAGACTACGTCTCGAAGCGCACGCAGCACCTCGGACGTCTGAGAGCAGCGGCCAGCGAAGGCGGGCACCAAGGAGAGCGCTGTCAACAGCCAGAGAGCAAAGACCTGACGAGTACCGGCCACCCGCAGGCGCCGAGGCCCGAGGCCGGCGCTGCCGAAAGGCACAGGCAAGAAGGGAGAAAGAGGTGTCGGGAGACCCGGAGGGGAGAAGGGGTAGAAAAGGAAGTGCCACTGACCGTGTCCAGGAGGGCGGGCGGATCCGGCGGCGTCTCCTTCGGCGCGGGGCCGGCGGGCGGCGGCAAGTTGGGGCTGAAAACCATGAGGTCGCTCTTGCCCGCGCCGTCCGCCACGCACAGGCTCCGGCTCTGGCGCTGCGAGTACGACCAGCTGCCCACTTCGCTGGCGCACACCAGCGTCGCCGGCCCGGGCCCCCACAGCAACGCCCCC